GTCTAACCACCTCCACTTCGGTGAATAGTTGTTAAATGTCATCCAAATCTTTCCTCAACGTCACGTTTCGACTAACAGTCACTTTGTAATATTTCCACTGTAACATGATGATCATATGTTTACAGGCTTTTCTCCCTGTTTCATCCGAAAAGAAACCTTAATAGTTTTCTGCTTCCGAACGAATGCGTTGGCAAGCATTAATGTGATCGCAATTTGAGACACAAGGCAATGAATTCAACAAGTTTTCCTTTAAGCCACAAAAAATTTAACAAAATGAAAGAGTTTCTCCCCAATTCCTTTTTTCACTATCCACCAGTTTGGTTCGGTTGCAAATTTTACCGACAGTTCTCATTTAAAAGTCGTTTTTGTTGATTTCTTTTATTTGGTTACCTTTTTAAAATACGAGCGTCTGCAGACGTAACTGTGATCATTTTAAACAACATAAAAAAAACTTCATTTCTGTGGATTTTGAATCGTAGATTGGTCTCAATTTTACGCGTTTGCGTGGACTAAAACAACTTATATATACAAGCCCAGAGAGGATATTACCTTGGATCAATGATTCACACACCATTTGTGTGTGATCCTACCGAGTACAGGGCCACGTATTCGACCACTCTTCGCGTGGTTTTACTAGGAGTTGAGCTACTTTGTACGAGAGAGCAAACTCCTTAGAACTGGTCTTTTATCGACGTTGCTTTCTGAAGAATTGGAATGAGAAAATAGACAGGACAGAAATTTATGGAACAACGGCGGGGAAGTCATGTTTGCTAGTATTCTTTTATATATACCAATATTTACACAAGGAAAAGGCGCGAAAGAAAGTTTCATTCGCAAGCTGTTCGAAGAAGCCGATAGTCAATCAGATGGTGCGTACCACATAGTCAAATTTCATTTTCAATTTGATATGGCTATGAATCTCCTTTAACATCATCACTTTGGGCCCAAATGATGGTAAAAATGATCACGACTGGCGTTTGCCAATGTTCCACGGACCCAATGTATGGTTTTTGCTGACAGCCGTTTAACATGAACTCATAGGTTCCTCCCACAAGGTCCCAGTTACCCTCCGAACTTTTAGACGGTACAAAATCTTTTTGGGGCTTACTTTTTTCAAGCTCTCATGATTGGAATAGATTCAGGCTTCAAAAAATCTGCAGAGTCTATCAAATTTCCCCGCTAATCAGTTAACGTTAATTTTTTCCTTTAGGTGTGCCTGAGAAACCAAAGATCACAACTGATTGTCAGCATGAAGTTAATGTGACGTTTGTCATAAACTGGTCAGCACCACAGAGCAACATCAGTAACGATATTAGCTATCGCCTCGAATGGAGGAAGAAATCCACCGCAGGATCCATGATGTGCCGTTTATCATAAACTGGTCAGCACCACAGAGCAACATCAGTAACGATATTAGCTATCGCCTCGAATGGAGGAAGAAATCCACCGCAGGATCCATAGAACCGGCGCGGATTTCACGGGAAGATATTGTTGAAACTCACTTCAATATTGCTGATCTTGATTATAACTCAGAATATGAAGTGAAACTGTTTGCTGTCAACATACACGGAGAGAGTGAGCCAGATATCAGAACATTTAAGACAAAGATTGGTATGTACCTTTGTCAAATGTATATGTCTTAAGTTCTGGTGAATGTCTTGAATGTCATCCAAATCTTTCCTCGTCGTCACGTTTCGATTAACAGTCGCTCAATATTTTCACTGTAACATGGTGATCGTATGTTTGCAGGGTTTTTCTCCTTCTTTCATATGACGAGAAACCTCATTAGTTTTCTGCTTCGGAACGATATCCGTTTGCAAGCATTGAATATGATAGCAATTTGAGATGCAAGGCAGTGAATTCAACAGGGTTTCTTTTATCTCTGGAAAGTACAGGGTTATTTTCGTTCGTTAAATTGCTACTGACCGTCCTAGTCGGCATTGTTTACAGATGATAATTTAGTTTAATCAATCAGCCAAAAACTTCATCTGTACCCACAGCTCTTGTTTCACATTAGATCGTAACCGATCGAAGCAATTCCAGTGTTGTGAGCTCCTATTTTTGCTTTGCACTGCTAGAAGGAACTCGGCAAAACCCTCTCCACTATGATAGGACTGTGCATGTTGAGGGGAAAAGTAAGTTCCCAGCACCAAACCCAGTGACCGATTGATTCAAACGCCGGAACTCAGTAACACTTTCTGAGTTTAGTGGCTCCCAGACACTTTCAATGAAACGTCAATCTATTAGTAGCTCTACTCTTCCTTGGATAAAGAAGTGCAAAACTTAATTAAAAGGTGGTTACTCATTTATGGTGGCTCTCATAAAAAAATGTAGCAAAATGAAACAGTTATTCTTTAATTTTTTTTTCGCTATCTACGAGTTTGGCTTGGTTGTAAATTTTAGTGACTGTTCTCATTTAGAGGTTGTTTTTGCCTGTTGATTTTTATTTGGTTACTGTTCTAAAATACGAGCCTCTGCAGACATTACTGTGATAATTTTAAACAACATTAAAAAAACTTCGCATCAGTGGATTTTGAATCACAGATTAGACTCAGTTTTACGCCTTTGCGTTGACTAAAAGAACCTGTTTCCATAAACGCAGAGATATTACCTTGTATCAATGATTTTCTAACTTATATGTACCAACATCTTCTAAAGAAATACATATTATTAACCAGGTGAGAAGTCCGTATTTGAAAAAGGTGTGCCTAAGGTCTTGGATGCCACCCAAGACATATTGATATGAGAAAGAGTGGGAGAATTTTAAATAAATTGTCTATTGGCTGAAGGTGGTGACCGAAACCCTAGCGTAGAAATGCTACCCAGCCGGCAAAACAAAATATATGTATGAAAAATTGCAACGAAGTTAAGGATGCGCTAGATCACCCAACACACAACGGGTAGGATACCGCCCGCTTGAGCTGGCTTGATAAGAGAATACTGTCCGCTCTCGGAACCAATCAAGTTGCAGGATTTTTAGAATAACGCCCGCTCACGTATCCAGAAAAAAAGATAATAGGCAGTTACCATGGGCATGTAGGAATGCGAAATAAGCGTTACCTTGCTCCTTTACAAGAATCAAGAGCACGCTTTTAAAAGGATATGATTGATGCCTTTGAAGCTCATTGTTAAAAAAGGAAAAGGAAAAGGAAACGAAAGAACACTATCAGTTTTTCACAAGAGTGCAAGGTGGGGGAGGACCGCGCGACAAATTTAGTACTGACTTTAAGACTTCAGCACCTTGGTTTTTTTTTTTTTTTTGACATCCTACGGGATCTTGCTAGTCTGAGAATGTTAACTTAGGTCCAAGTTTTTTTCAGGGTCAAGTTGCTCGCGCGTCCTCGAACTTTGTTGTTTTGCAAGACGAAGTGAAGAGTCACGAAAAGCTCGGAAAATTCAATATTAAAAAGGTGTATATCTGCGAACTGTTTTTTCGTTCCATGATGGGCCGAGGAATTGCGAAATTACGTTATAATGATTGAAGGCATTCCGAAAGGTACGGAAAATTTAAAGAAAATCTCCAATTTACATTTCATGGCAAAGAGTGCTATTCATGACATTTCAACTTCCATCAAGTTTGGGTCGATGGTTCCTTGATGTACAATCCTCTAGCCCCTTCCCCCTCGGCATACCTTACAAGTTTTCATTAAAAAAGCGATAGTTTAATTCTGAGGGTTTTCCTCAGAACTAAGAATTAAATATAAAAATCGCAGACATGCTCAAATCTGATGTGCAAATTTGTAAGGCTTTCCAGAGAATCGGGTGCCAACTAAAGCTATTAACGAATTTTAAAGGAAAATTTTCGAGCAAAATCTCTGGAAAAACTAGCTGTTTCGAAGTAAAAAAAGCGAACCGATTTCCTGTCGAACTCTGCTTCTTGACAAATGACATCAAAGATCGACGACGCACAACAGTTGGCCCCCTGAGGCACCTGGCACTGGGTTGACTAATACCAACGATCATTTGGACGTCAGTATTAGCAAACCTGTCGAATACGAAACTCAAAGATTAGGAAGATTGAAAGTGGCTGAATTAGTTTTAGATGAGTGTCTTAAAGCTTGTTTCCATCTGAAAACCAGAAACAAGAAGCTGTGGTGTAAATGTGCTCATGAAATTGCATGTACCTTTCGTAAATCTTCAGATTCGGTGGAAAAGATGAGAGACAACTTCAAAGAAACAACTGAGGGGATAGAGATTGAAATTAAAGAGTTGAAAGAGAAGCTAAATAGCTTGAAAACAACAGTGGAGAAAACCACACGTGAAGGTTGGTGGCTAGATTGAGCTACTCACAGAAGAACTGAATTAACAATAGCGATACCGTTCACTTGGGTTCATAGCATCTTTTTAATTTGACCAAAGTATTTGCTGGATGTCGGCAAATGTAGTATATTTTGGTAATATATTGTTGATAATATAGTGATGTAAGGCCACACCTTGACCAGCACCTGCACTGAAGGACACAAGGTAATATGTGGGATGAATAGAATGGCACGGAATGTGAGATTTTAGTCCCTACCTTCCCCTCAAATTGGATAGTTTTCTAAGTTGTCTAATTTTAGTTTTATCTTTGTTAAGGACATAATGAATTTAACTTCCTCGAACGTGAGAGTTGACCTGCATATTGCTTTCTCAATCTCATTAATTATTCATAAGCTGATCATCCAACCAATTCACGCTAATTTCGTCAAGTGCATGTGGTTTGAAAACCCGGTAAAACACTGCAATGACGCGCTATCCCTGAAATTAATATAACATCAAACCTTTGAGTTTCATAAAGCATCAAACTCTAGTGAACTCATTTCTCAATATGAATAACAGCAACAAACTTGACGACAACATGGGAAAAACTCGTGAATATTTTCACTTTCTTTCATTTCTGAGGTGCGATTGAGAAGCTACCATAAAAGCTCCTGCATTGGGTTTCGTCAGGATTTCAAAACACTCGAAAACAATAATAAAAGCACTCGGGCTACGGTCTCGTGCTTTCATCAGTTTCATTGTGTTTGGAAACCTAGATGAAACCCTCGCGCTCAGTTTTGAAATAGTTCGTATATCCTTCTTCTGCTCCTATTGTAGACTGAGTATTTCATTGTACACGGGGAAATATCTGAATGTGTGTCGTCCGAGTGAATTGATCTGGATGAGGTGTATGTGGTTATTTTACATTTCCCGAGTAAAAAACTGAACGAAACCTCCTTCTTCATTGCAGACGGGCCACTGGTTTTCTCCAGCGTTTTTCTCTGTTTCATGATGAAACTGACCATGTAACATAGAAGGCGAAATAGCGTTCGTTTGTTTTCGTTGATTAGTTCATCCAGTCTCGCTTTTTACGGACGTAAAATCTATTTAAGACTGTCAGCTCCATTGATATCCATATTTATTTCACGAGTAAATTACTTTACGAGAGAGTTTAAATGTCACACCGCTTGTAAGGAAAAAAAAAAAGGGAAGGGGAAAGGATCTAACGTTATTTAGTTAACCTACATTTTTATGAATGAAGTGACTCGGATCACTCAGACTAATTGTTCTAGTCCTATTCTTTCGTCAGATACCATGAAACGGTCTCATGAGAAAATGTTAGGCGAAATTGCAAAGATGGAGAATGAACTGAGAGAGGTGAAGGAAAAGCTGTGTACTTTGACAGCCTCGGTAGGAGAAAGCAAGAAAGAAGGTCCGTTCAATTATTGCATTTGACAGAACACAGTCCTAATGCTTTATGAACTGAGAGTTTAGGGCAAACACGAAGCATACGCCAAGCTGTGCGCAGCACCGAAAAGCACGTGCATACGTAATGGTTTCATTTCTCGATCATCGCTCTAATAGTTAAGTTCTGAAGTAGTAGCGCTACGCAATTTTCTGGCCGTGAAGTCAAGAAAACTACGATCTAAGCATGATAAATTCTACTGCGTGGGTTTCATACACGTAAGTTACGGTTTTTTACTTCTAACAGCTTTTTTTTTTGCTTTTCCGATTTCTCCAAAATTTTAGCTTTTGTATAGTTACGCGTTACACTCAGGTGTCAATGGGTGAAAGCAATCTTTTGGTACCTATCTTTTACTGACTGTATAAGGAGCTTGGATCGCCCTCGAGTTAATAGCAGACACGTACAATCACGCCAGAATCTACAGTCAACTGTGAACTCAAATGCACTCGATAAGCCGTGCTTACTTCTAGTAAAGTAAAAGTTTTTCTGCTCATTGTTGCGTCGTCATTTGACAGATATTTAACGTGTCCTGTACCTTACATATAAATCATCTTTTCTTAGGGAAAGTAATTTTTCAAATTTCTGAACTAGTCTCGGCAGTGTGCTTTGGTTTCCTTCAAGAAATTAGTGCGGTGCGCAGGTGACAACTGGTCCTCACAATTGCATTACAATTGCCGTTCTAAAATTGCTTCTACTTTAATCAGGCACAGATCCATACCGGTTTCCACCGTTTTACGGAAATCGGTCAGAATTTTCATAATAAAAAATTTATATGTATATATTTTTAATAAAAGAAAACTACAAGTTGCAGCAAATATATTGTCTGTCCGACTCAAGAAGCCACGAAAAGGCACTTTAGGTAGTTAGAATTAAAAACATTTTCCGGGGGACCATGCCCCCGGGCCCACCTAGGAGCTTACGTCTTCGGCGCTCGTTTTGCAGTAAATCGGTGAAAATTTTTCCTAGATCTGCGCCTGTTAATACTAGGGGTAGGGTATGGAAGCCACTGTTTACTGAATACCTTCCGACTAGGAGCGGCAAACTGTCTTTCGCAAGACATTGCATAACATTTTCCTTTATATTTCACCCGTGATATCCCTGGAAACATAGTTGATAAAGCCATTTTCGTCTGTTTTCGGCCATAAAACGAGGGCTTCTTTTAACTTTAAAATTTGTCTCCAATCATACGGAAAAATCCATGATTCAATGAAAGAAACACTTATGAGACTGGAGAACGAAATGAAAGAGATGAAGGAAAAGCTGGGTTCCCTGATAGCTTCAAAAGAAGAGAGCACGGATCTAGGTAAGTCGTCCGGAAGATCTAGAGAGTACAGTTTAAAGGTTACACATTGCTACTAAGTTGAGGTCGATGTTAGAAACTAACAGTATAGATTCGACTGAATTTTAATCGAACATCTTTTGATCGTTACCCACTTTGAAAGAAATTCAGTCCTTTTAATTCATAGATCAGGTTTTTCATCATCAAAACTGAGGTGGTGTACGGCCTTCGACGACGGTGCATTCTGGGTCAGATGGCTTCG